TATAATAATATGGAGTATTTTTTTTTCAAGGTACTGCCCTCTTCTGCCCTCTCTCCATTCTGATCTGCCTTCTAGTTGGGTAGCCTCACCCAGCTAAGCATCATTGCTCTAAAACGTGGTGTCAGACTAAGGGGCCTAAGAAAGTTTACATATTTTGCTAAACACATTGGGTAAAGAGAAGAAATATGGAACAAGCCGTCATCCTGCTTGTCCTCCTTCAAAGAATCATCCCAAATAAATGTAATGGGGCAATATTTACAAGATGACCTATGGATTTTTATGCACAATTTAAGTACTATGAGTTTGTCAGCATGGAGATATTAACTGTCAGGAAGGCAAGGACAATTTTTTCCTTGGTTGGTTACCAGAAGTTTAAAAAAAAAAGCTCTATGGCCAAGCTGCTTAAAAGAAACAAGGCGAAATTTTATACCAGTCCCTTGGGAGACACAAAGAGGAAAGACTTCAATAGGCTTGATCACATTTCCTTCACTCTGGCCTGCTATCTCCTACAAGTGTTCACAAAATAATATTACAAGCTGGAGCTGGCTGTCCTCTGACAACTTTTTCTGATTTATACTAGTTTGACTTTCACTCAAGCCTAAAGCTTGGTCCCTACCCTACATTCAGAATGGATTGGTAGGATTCTTGCAGCACTATTAACTTTTCAGAAGCCACTCGCCTATTTGCATATCTCCTGCAAGGACAGCCACACCTACCTGGTCTTGCTACAGGCTGCTCTGGAGCCAGAATTCCTTGTCTGCTTTGTCCAGCAACCCAAAATGTAATCAAGGGACTGGAGAGAAGAAAGGGAAGGATTTCAAGGCAGAGCACAATGGTGATGCCATGGGAAAATTCCAGGAATCCTGTGAGCCACTATCCTCACCCCACGTTGTGCCCTGCCTCACTAATCTTTCAGATTAGTTCAGCTAATGAAAATCCACTACTGTAAAGCAAGTAATGATACTCATCGTTTGTCTTTTGTCTGCTCTAGTTCATTCTGTATGTCTTGGTTGAGCCAAGCAGAATTCTCGAAACTCCACCAACCTGCTCCTGGGGCTGATAACTTGAGAGCTCATCTTGGGGAAAGGAGCAACTGATAAAGATCAGCCACTAGAAAAGTCATTATCTGTTCTCTTTCCCAATGACCATGGATTCAGTTCCTCAAAACAGTAGACCACTATTTCTCTTAGCTTTTCTCTTATTACATTCATAAATAGCAATATACTATAGAAATTCACACCAACAGCTCAGAATATTTTCAGTTCATTATTTAGCTTTACTTAAGAATTTAAGTCTTCCTGAGAGGGGAAAAAATTCTTTATTTCATGTGTCATTCTTTTGATAAATAAAGGTGGGTCTTATTTACTGTAAAGCAAACTAAAACTATGAACAGTACACTATTTAATAAAAAAAGTCCTTATATTTCTTTTTCCAATTTAAATTATATGTATGGCTACCAGGAAAAAAAAATCATTTTTCCCTGTGCTGGATGAAAATAGGTCAAGTAATTTAAGCCAGTCCATTGCAATTAAAATTCTGACATTCCCATTGTTCCTTCTATTCTGAGGGGAAAAGACAAACAGAACACATGATAATAGGGGTTCACTGGCTAAGTTACTGGATGTACTACCTATCGGTCTCTTGCTTCAACCTGCCTGGGAGCTCTGATTCTGATGATGTAAGTGGTATAAGCACCAAAATGATGAACACCATCTCTGAGGCTGTGTATACCAACTCTTTTGTGCTACCAAAACAATAGTTGGAGAGGAGAAAATTGCCAATGGCTCGGGTCCTAAATTCCTGAAATTCTAAATTTATTTTTGGGGGGAGACAATGTTATCTGCCAAGTTCATTTTAAAGTAAATTTTACTGAATCAATTAGACAACAATGCTCAATCTCATTAAACATCCTGTGGCCCTTTTCACAAGATTAGGACCTGTGGCTTGGTCACATTCCAATGTAGATAATTGGATTCTGCATTCCTGGAGACTTCCCTCCACCTTTCCAACCCCTTCCCATCAAATACATTGTGATTTGCACTGATCCCAAATCAACAGTTCTGTTGTGAGAGTGAAGAGTAACAGGCTAAAGCATTGCTCATTATCCTTTTATAAAGAAAATTCCTTAGCCAATGCCTGTTTTGAAGTATGAGGCAAATTTCAAGTATGTGCATTTAATCATAAGTTAAGGTCTTTGGCAAGTAAAATAGTCCTATTTTCATAAAGGGTGTTTATTTTGGAATCTTCTTTGATAGCAAATTTGTTTCTCAAATATATGCTGCTTGCTTCAAGAAAGAAAATGAAGTCTTCAGAAATGATAAAAAACAAACAATAAAACAAACATAAAAAGCCTCTTGAGCAAACAGCTTTCCTTTGACCTTCTAAATAAATTCCACAAGGGGGCGAAAACACCTAATGGTCCAGGCCTGCAAAGTTTATATTTCAAAGCCGGCCACCCATAGTAGATTAGTGGATTAATATTTTGCTGTAAAGGATCTGGCCTTTAATGTTGACATCAATTTATAGTTATCCCAGTTTACAGTAGTAAAAGTCACGGAGACCATAAACTTCACAATAGATGTCAGCCTTCTGGTACTAGTGCTCTAGCCTAGCACCCCATAAACAGTGGTGATTAGGTAACTGTTCTTCAAAGACCCATCCATAGCTGTAATGTCTTTATCAGCTCCAGCGAAGATACTGCCAGCAGGATTTTAGCAGCCACAATGGAGGTACACATTTTTTTTTATTAATGTGTTCTTATTTTTCTGATACGTTTCTATGATATTTTGCTCTTGCTTATCAATGATCTCTTCTTGAAAATCAAGCGTGGAGTGTCTGTTTGTAGGCAAAGCTTAAAGAACAGAAGCTCTCTTGTACCATATTAGAACTTTTTGAAAAACAGCCAAGGTACAGAGGTCAAATTTCCCCACATGCTATAAGCAACTTAGTAGGAAGCAAGACCACAAAAGGTTTTGCAAATGTCTGCCAGTAGCCTGGTGATCTAGGTCACTGTACAGGTTTCATTAATCAGGTTGTTCAAACAAGGAGTTATTTTTCTCTGCTTAAGAGACCTGCAGATATCACATAGAATCTGCTCAATTCTTGATCATGGAAAGAATTTTAATGAAATAGAGATCATTTAAATGAAGGAGACAGGGGAGTTTGTATTTGTACTGAAGAGAAATTGTGCTTTTAACCCAGCTCCTGTTTGAGTCCTCTGTTCTAGCAGAGATAGGCTCAGGATCTAATAATAGTTCCTTGGGCTCTGCATCTCCACATACGTGTTCCGCCGTTAGGGCAGCAGGAGGAATTTAGTGACAGAGCAGGTGTTGTGGCTTATTCCCTGGCAGAATAAATGGTGAAGGGTGGTGGCAAAGCAATTCTTTTGCTTCTTTATGCAAAAAAACCCAATGCCTCCAATAGCCTTCTTCTTTTATTTTTTTTCCTGGCACAAGTGAAAAAGAACTAGAATTGCTTTATTAATATGTATGCAAACATATTTTTTCACTTGAGCCTCTGGGAAAAAAAAAAAGAAAAAGGAAAAAGGAAAACTTAATGTGAAAATGCTTAGCCAGGAAGATTTACTGCTGATTGCAGATTTAGTATTGACATGTCTTAGCTGAAGAAAACTTCAGCTTTAACTATTAATGTGGGAAATATGGATCTGCTTTTAAAATGGGGTGAAGAATTTTGAATGATGGTGTATTTTCAGATAAATTTACCTAGAATATAATTTTTAATAAGAAAGTGTCAATTATAGAGGTAGGAAAAAACCCAGTGGAGTGTGCATCTTAATTTTAATGACCTGCCTTGGAAATAGAATTATAGAATGTAGGTGATCTGAATTATACTGAAATCAGCCTTGATGCCAGACTCACTGTAATTTAACACTTCTGTATGCCCTCCTCTCCTGATTTTTTTATTATGAAATATGGGATTTAAGATTAGAATCTTAAGAGTCTAAATGAAATGCTCTTTTAAAGGATTATTTGTGAGATTTTCTTCAACCTACATTTCTGTACTCCTCCAGTATGTTACATACAAAAGGCTATTTTTTCATGGATATAGGTATGTTGCTCTTATAAGATAAGCTAGGAAAACATGACAGGGAAAGCAAAATTTCTTCTTCCAACTGGGATCATTTGAGATTTTAACAACATTACTTTTTCTTTTGCTTGATTATATAAGGCAAAACTTGACACCTACTTAACTGTGGTTGCCTTCTTGATAATGCATTTGAGTGAAATTAGAAAAGGATCTTAACGTTTATGTCCTTTGCACCCAATACCTGTAACAGGAAAAGCTCAGAATTCTGGAAAACCGGGCATGCTTGAGAGGGAGTATTTTGTGAAGATTGTAATTTGACCTTTGAATCAACCTTGCTGAGTAAAATTTAAGTAGTATAGGAGAACAAAATAGAAAGCCTTACAGTGGGATTCTACCCCATTTTCCTCTTAGAACTATAAACTAGGCAGAAGATTTTTCAGAGATTAAGCTATTAAATGTGTGCTTCTCCTTAGTACTTTTGCTGAGAAATAAAAGTCGTCACTAGAGATAAAGGTAGATTTATATTTAATGCCATCTTCATCAATCTTCCAGTATATTATTCCAATCTACCTCCATTTAAAAATCAGGTATAACCAGAAACACTTGATTTTTCCCCTCCCACCTTATGAAAAAATATAACATTTAATATTACAAACCTTTCTAACTCTGGAGTACACTTGAATATGATGGCAATTAAGAAAAAAATGCTCTTTGACAAGTTTGCAGCTTTTGATTAAACCACACCAAGAGGCATGTTACAGTGATAACAATGAAGCATTATGCCAATTATGTTAAATCCTACTCTCCGCTTTAAGCTCATCATGACCTGTTTTAGTGTCCTGTAATTTATCCCTTGGAATGCTTACTCTCATTAATAAAGTGTTCAACTTCAAGAGAAAAAAAGAAAGCCACCAAAGGGAATAACCACCCCCAAATGACTTCTAGAAAACAAGTATTTCTTAACTTTTTATTGACATTGGCAAATTAAAATAGAATAAATTAACAAGTATTTTTTCAAAAAAATGTTTTGTACAAAAATACTGTCAAAATTTCCTAAAAAGCTTTCAACACAGTAGTATCTTTTCATGTACTGAATATAACTATTAGCACAGTGTCAAAAATGTTGAAGACAGAAACAAAATAAAAATTTGTGAAATGTTTGCCACTGACGACATTCCACACCCTATTATTGTCTGTACATATGGGGGAGGGGGGCAGCCACCTTGAAAGTGAACAGTATGACTTTTCCTGATCCAGAACAGTTTGGCCCACATCTGTTTTAATCTTCCAGTTAGCATATTTTAAAAATTAGTCTGTACTCAAATGCATAGTTAAAAAAATGAAGCGGAGATGGCAGAGTTTGTGCAGTAATATCTGCCCTTCAAAGTTCATGCAACCAACTAATGCAATTTTTCCTTTCCCTCGTAAATCTGAATGCAGTTCAGTCATTTGAAACCATCTACAAAATCCACAAGATTAAGCAGTTTGCCAAGATTAATATCTAACAGTTGAGCACTGGAGAAAGTGAGGAAATAAGGAGTAAAAACAAACAACAAAAAGGACCAAGTTAGCTAGATATTTCAACTACATAAGGGAGGTGAATGTCAAGGCTACAAAAACGAAACAAAAACAGAAAAAAAAAGTGGCAGCAATTTTTTAAACCAATTTGTACAAGTTTATAGTTTACTTTGTTTCCAAGTTCTCAAACCTTTCACGATCTGAAAAGTGAGATACTGTGTCTAAGGGAATGTTTTTTTTAATTCACACCGAAGAAGTTGGGGGATTTGATTTCTTTCGCCAGGGTTTCGATCGAGTCAACAGCTTACTCTGCTGGGCTGCTGTTTGCACACGAAGTCCGTCATAAAATCAAACTCGTTTTGCCCCAGCCAGAGTTCGGGCAGCTCCTTGATGCGGTCCAAACCCATTTCTATCACTAAGGACATAAGCACTTCCTCGTCGATGAAATCAGTGTCTATGACATTGGGCGGCAGCATTGCAGCAGGGACGTGGGCCACGGAGGCGGGCATGTTGCTGCTGCTGCTGCCGCCGCCGCTGCCGCCACCGCTATTGCTGCTGCCCGCGCCGCCGCCCGAGGTGCCGCTGGAGCCGCCAGGGGTGCTGCTGCCGCCAGAGCCGCCGGGGGTGCTGCTGCCGCCGCTGTGCTTGGGGTTGCAATCTCGGAAGTGCTGGTTTGTCCCGTTCATCTGGTGGCCTGCAGCAGGGTGCAAATCCGGCATGTAGTGGTTGTGGGGGTAGGGGTGATGGTTGAAATACTGGTTGTTGAGCTTCTGCAGCTGCATGCTGGCCGGCAGGGAGCCCCCCTGGCTGGCCACCGGGGGTCCCATGAACTGGGAGTTGTTAAATCTGGCCGCGGGGGCCAGCGCGCTTGGGGGGTGCCCTCCGTTCACAGTCCCGGGCCCCATCGCGTGCCTGATGCCGCTCGTGGCGTTCATGTTGCCCGCGCCGTAGTGTATGTGATCGCCCATGAGGGCGTTGAAGGCGTGTTGGGGCTGCTGCTGCTGGTGATGATGGGGGCTCGGGAACTGCCCCATACCCATGCGGTGGGCAGGGTGGTGGTGCAGCCCGTTGGTGCCGTCGGGGAAGCGCCCGTGGTTCATGGCCATCATATGGTCTGCCATTTCCAGTCCTGAAAGTGAAAAAGGGCAGACGGTAAGACCCGCGCCACACATGACTCCCACCGCGACGCACCCCACTTTTTCTCGCCTCTGTCCCCCAGGGGCGCCGGACGCACTTCGGCTGCGAATCATCACCCCGAGGATCCCACCAGGAGCCTGTGCACTCGAGCTCGCCACCAAGGCGGACCTGCCACCTACAACAGAGCCGCGCGCTGCACAAACAGCCCTTTCCCCTGCGATCGGGCGGTGGGACCTAAGCCCACACCCCCGTCTGCTCCCCGAAGTCGCCTAATAAAGGAAGTGCCCCATAGCTCTGCCGCGAACTTCAGGCATTAAACCAGCCCTCCTCATCCTGTTGTTGCACATCCTGTTGTTATTCCCCAGCTCCGCCTCAAGCTCTTCCTCCGGGCAAACCCAGCCCTCGGAGGACTGGGCTGGCAGAAGCCCCAGCCAGTTTCGCCCGCCGCGCTTACCTTCCGTCCTTGCAATTTCTGCTCCGAAGACTGAGGGCGGGATCGTCGGGTCCAGGACCAGCTCAGCAGCACATAGAGGGGGCCTTCCTCGCGTGCAGGGCGCTCGCTGTCGCGATGTCGGCGCCGAGGTCTTGCAGCAGCCGCTGGGGCAGAATCGGAGCCGTTCCCTTTTATTTCCCCTCTGCTGCCCTCACAGCTCGGCAAGACCGCCCGGCAGCTGCCAACAATGAGCTGTGTTTCTTCGGGCTTTGGCCACAGTTAATATAAGGGATTTCAGGAAGGGCGGAGCCAGAGCCTCCTGGGCGAGCAGCGAGAAAACGCGGATTCCGGAACAGTAGGCATACCGGACCGGGTCGGGCAACCGCGTCCCCGCGGCCGGAGGCACGTGCGCAGACGTTTCAGGCCCAGGCGCCGCCCGGCTGCCCCCGGATTCTGGTTTCCTCCTGGCCCACAAACCCGGGGCCAGTTCGGCCGCCCCCTTTGCAGGGAGAAAACCCTCCCTGGACTCTCAGCCCGAAGGTAGCGCCTGCCCGGAGAGAAGCGAGGAAAATTCACCGCCCCCCTCTGGCCGGGTTCTTCACCCCCAGCTCACCTAGCGATCTGGGCTTTCTACGGAAAAGGGGCTTCACTCAGCGCCGCCTCCCTCCGTGGTGCCCTTCTACCTTTGCGGCTCTGCAAAGGGCTACCCAGGTTGCAAAGAATGACTGTGTTTACCCGAGTGGGTTTGTAAGCCCAGGGCAAATAATGCCCCCTCCTCTGCGCGCGCTTTCCAGGGCTGTGCCTTTGTGTTTTTATAGGGGCAGTAGGTAAACCTGATCTAGATAGTCTGCATGTAGTTGCATTATTTTCCACTCCTTTCAAGGACAGGAGCTGGGGGCGGGGAGAGGCAGCGGCTGCAGGTGGACTTAGCGCGCTCGCGGGCTCGGCCGCCTCCGCTCCAGCGCCTAGGAATCCGGTCCGCGTTTTCGGGCCCACTCGCCGCTCCCGGGGTACGTGTGCTTCTGCTAAGTTTGCGTTTGCAGCTCTTGGTAGCTTTGGCATCCGAGCTGAGGCGTCTCTGCTCTGTAAACAAACTCAGCGATCCTCGTCCCCAGATCCACCTTTTTGCACATACACAGTTTCTTGCTTCTGCTGTTGCCCTTGATCCGAGAGGTGGGAGTGTGTGCAAACTTGCATAGCCTCCCTCCGGGCTCTGCCTGACGGTTTCGGGTTGATTTAGAAGCGAACGGGTTTGTAATTAAGAAATTCGAGGGCTGAGTAAGGCTGCTGTTGCTGGAAAAGGAAAACAAATAGATAACATGGTAATCGCTTTGTAAATAAAGTCGTTCTGGAGGTGGGCACGTAGCTGCACGTCCTGTATGGAACCGTGCGCAAACACTGCTGGGACTCTTCCTTTTCAGTGAAATTGTTCAGTGGGGTAATAGGCGATAATAATAACCTTGCTTCCCTGAACGCGGCACAACTAGCCTGGTCGTCTTTTTGGCTCATTGACTTGCAAATAAAAGCTCTAAGACCGGTCTGGGCTACTACCAAGTCTCTTGCTTTCTCAAATGGGGAAGCAGAGTTGTTTCCCCAGCACCATGATGGGGCTGCTCTGAGCTTTTATGTTGCTCTTTATGTGGTAAAAGCGAGTTTAGCGCTCCGAATAAGGACTTCTGTTCACAGTTGTTTCTTCAAAACTAGATAGCCATTCCTCTTCCTGCTGCAAAGAGCGAGTCCCTCCGCGCGCCCCCCCCCGCCCCCACCTTTTTTTCTCTCCCTTCTTGCTCACACTTTTTTTAGGCCCTATTTCTTGAGGGCTGGAAATTCTGATACATTTCCCCTTTCAGGAGTTTGCAAATCCTGATTATTTAAATTTATTACTCCTCAGTCTTCCTCCAGCTATGTATGTATGTATATAATATTAAATATATGTATTTACATTGTTACTATCTTTCTCTCTTCCTCTCTTTCCTTTTCCAAGCTCTCCAGCATTTATAACCGTGCATGCAATAATTTTAAACGTCAAAAACATTACTTTTTGGAGACTTGTGTACAGAATACATTGCATTTTTGGTTGCAACAATCTCCTAATCTGGTTGCAACAATCGCCTAATCTGATCACCCACCACTTTTACCTGTAGATCATGGACTTGCAGTTATAGAATCAGAGCCTTGGAAGAGACCTAAAGGTGCCACTTCCTATCAAAAACTAGACTTGAAAATATTGGTCAACTCCAGACTCAAAATTGCTAGATAGATTGTTTACTTCCCTCCCTTATACTGCAGTGTCTTGCGACACAAGGACCAGCTCTTGAATGTCTAATCTAAATTCCTCTTGCAACCATTAAGGAAAGGTGCAGCTCCATCCTGCTCCAGTGGTTCCACATACTATTGGGAAATCCCTTGAAAGGTCACTTCCCCATCCCCCACCCCTTAGAGGGGGTCAGAAAATTCATTCTGGGATCAGCTGGTTAGAACATGGTATGCTTTGTTCATTTATTCATTCATCCAGTGAATATTTACCAAGTGTCAGGCACTTTTCTTAGCTCCTAGAGATACAACCAAGACAGGAACTCATGGTCAAAAGGTGGAGCAGGACAAACAAGCTTTAGACACACTAGGATAAGTGTCACAACAACATTAAACACAAGGACTTCTGGCAGCATATAGGAGAGACACCTAAGCTAGTCTTTGGGACTTGGGAAGGCTTCCTAGTGGAGGTGGTGGTAAGTTGAGGCCTGAGGATGAGGAGAAGTTAGGCCGTCTTAGGAGGGGGCAGAGGTGAGAGAAACAAGGTTGAACTGGTAAACAGGCTGAATCCCATGGGTTTTGGTTCCCCAAGCTGAGAAATTTGGATTATGTCCTGAAGATAATGAGAAGTGGACAAATGCTTGCGAACCAGTGAGATGGTCAAATTTTCATTTTAAAGAGATCAGGACAATACCATGGAGAATGGATTGAGAAAGTAAGACTAGAAACAGGGAGTTCAGTTGAGGAGCTGTTACAGTCATCCAGAGGTACACAAATAATCAGTGTGATCACGGGTTTGTCCTGGGAAGCTGGGCAAGGCAGTGTTCCCTCTGTGGTCCTAATGGTGCTAGATGGCTGTGTTAGTTTCCTAAGGCTGCCACAACAGAGTACCACAAACTTTGCTTACACCACACTTAAACAACAGAAAATGATTGTCTCACAGTTCTGGAGGCTAGAAGTCCAAGATCAAGGTGTGGCAAGTTTGGTTCTGAGGACTGTGAGGGAAAATCCTGTCCATGACTCTTTTCTAGATCTGGTGGTTTGCTGGCCATCTTTGGTGTTTCCTGGCTTGTACATGCATCACCTCAATCTCTATCTTAATCCTTACATTGTGTTTTTCCCTGTGTGTGTGTCTCTGTGTCCAAATTTCCCTCTTTCTGTAAGGATACCAGTCTTATTGGACTAGGGCTTGTGCTACTGACCTTATTTTAACTTGCTTATCTCTGTAAAGACACTTTCTCTAAATAAAGTCAAATTCTGAGGTACTGGGGGTTAGTATTCCAATATTTTTGGAGGGACACAATTCAACCCATAATAGTGGTGGAGAAACTGAGTAACACAAGACTCTTGCCTTGTTGGAAGTAAGGCAATGCCTGGAACTCTCTTCCCAGATCTCTTGCTGGCCCACACTTTCATTTCTTCATGTTTATGCTCAGACACCACCTCAATTAGGCTTTCCTGACTGTCTTACCAACTAGCAATATTCCCTCTTTGTCTTCTTGCACTGTTTTATTTTTCCTCTTAGTGTTTTTCCCCACCTGACATGTTACATATTGGAGTTTTACTGTCTTCCCCCTAGTGTGGCAGCTCCTGGAGAGCAGGGACCTTGCCTGTTTGTTTATTCAGTGTCTAAAACAAGTCTTTACTGATTAAAGAGTGAATGAACGAACGGAATAGAGCAGAAGTACCAAGGGATCCCAAATAAAGGGCTTATAAGGGGGTGGTCAGGAAAGATTTTCTGGAGAAGGTTACTTTCAAAAATGGCGGCAGAAAACTCTAGTGGGAAGGTTCACAACAGTTTACCACTATCCACATTGTGGCCTGTCATGGACTTGAGCAAACTGATCTGTTTGGGAGGATGGCTCCCCCGGGGTCATTGGCTGCTGAGTATGGAGGAAGTCCCCATTGGTGTGAACGTTTGATTGAAACAGGGCTTTTAGAAGTAAGCCTCAGGCTTCAGCTGAACTGTGAGTTGAGGAAAGGCTAACTGAAGGACCTAGCTTCAGAAATATTCAAAAGAGTTCATAGCTGTGTGGTGGGGTGAGGGTGAGGCTGGAGAGCAGCATGGGGTCGAATACTGTTTTTTTTTATACTTCACCTAAATGAGCTCACCTAATTGTCACTTTAACAACTAGGGATTACTTTCATCATTTCAGAGAGGAGGATTTTGAATCTCAGAGATTTAAAAACAAACAAACCCCCAAACCCATGACCATCTTCTCAGAGGGTTTAGGGAAAAGGGGAGAGAATCAGTCAAAGGCAGACTCTGGACCTTTCTCCTCTTCTCCTCCTCCCGAGATCTTGCCTCTAGGTCTTAGCTGGTGAGAAAAACACTGCTGCTACTTTGTTCCACCGTCCATCCCACCACCATGAAGAGTCAGGAGCCTCTATTTGAGAATGAGGTGTGATGGCAATCCCTATTTCTGCCTTTCTCCTTCTCTCTCCTATTCTGATGGAAAATTCTGATATTTTACTGGTCTGTGGTATAATTTGGGGTAGGAACTGTCAGTGGATCCAGATCCAGAAACTGTTGGTGGACTTCAGTGTCAGGGTGAGCACACATGGTTAAAAAAAGAGATGGAAGCCCTATATGCAACCTTACATTATCTGCAAGTTGAATAAATAATGTCTTATGTGTATGTGTATATGTCAAAATAATATATTCATATAATTTTTAAACCTGTGGATTTTATTCTAATTA